TTAATTTACTGATATTTGATAATAATGTACGGGAATTTAATGAACGTATTTATGTTATCGTCTTATGACGACTTAATATACGACTAAGATTTGAATGAAATATGGTACAGAGATTAATCGTAATTCAGATAAATAAATAGATTATTAATTATTATAATTAGAGACTAGTAGGCGACTAGGCGAATTGGTTGTCAAGAGGTTGAGAGATCAAATCTGACCAACACAAAAAAATATAAAAACATTGACATCAATTCATAAATTAATCCGAGAGATAGTGGTACCCTACCACTATCTCTCGGATTAATTCTCTCTCCTCCTGTCATTGTCGATTGAAATACTTATACTCAGTGATTATGGGCCTGTAAAGTGTATTTTTTATGTTTACCTAAAAACGACAGTTGATAATGCTTCTGACTACGTCATTTAGAATAACAGTCACATAGGTAAGCTGTATGTTATTTTTATTTTGATTATTGCACATTAGCCTTTGCGATCTCTAATTAATATTTTGGATGTTTGAATACTCGTGAAGAATTACATATAGATAAAACATATCTTCAATTAATAGATACCTAAATATACGAGAGATTTTATAAAATTACTAGAATTCTAAATACTTTACAAAATTAGTGAAATTCTGAATTTTAATATGAAACTCACATGTATTTAAAAGGGATTTCTAAATTAGCTGCGATGGTACTGTAATTTTTCCCTAAAGTATATTATATTTATATTAATTCACTAAATATATGTTTTATAACTATATATAATATAAATGTTTTATAATATATATAATTTATATTTTCTAAGGCCCTCTATTCCATGTCTAGTATTATTTAATTTAATGTATCAAATATCTGTAACCTCATGCATTATATTATCGATAATAGTAGAAATAAATTAAACGCTGAATTCTTAATTCAATAGCTTAGACTTCCGCAAAAGCACCTAATGAAAATATTTAAAAAATTATCATGACCAGTCGAGTATAGAAAAAAAATAGTACTAAATTAACTGTGAACTAGTTGGCAAAAATCAGGGAATAACAGACATGGTCGCTATTTGTAAGGCGACGTCATTTATCTTGACCTAGACGCGGCCAACAGCCTTTGCAGACTATTTTCGTACAACGAACTCGGGTAAAATGATGCGTAGGTACTTTTTTGTACAGAATCAGTAACAACGTGAACAACTTTCTGCTGTGTTAATGCGTTTTTTATTCCTGACCTCATCTGTGAGTTGAATTCTATTTATATGCTAAATATTATGGGATTTTAATAATGATTTTATATCGTAAAAAAGTGTTAAGTGATTATTGGAAAAGTTTATCACTAAATGTTAAAAAATATTAGTCTTTTTTATAATTGAAGTTATTTTTTTAATTTATTTGTAATTAATTGCCATAGAGTTGATAACAACAAAATTTAAAAAAATCACTAGATTGAAAAACTGTTTTTTTTGTAGTCGGGAGAATACAAAGCCTGAATTGATAAGTAAATCTGGTTTAACGTAATATAAACTTAATGATGTAATAAAACCGTAATTTTCTCGTGACCTTTTCCTACATTTTTACATAGTAAAATAAGTCGCTTCCGCTGTCTGTTCGCTGAGATCTTTTAAGCTATACATTTTTTATTATACGCATTAGATTTTAATGCAGTTTCAGCAATAGATAGAGTCATTCGGGAGGAAGGTTTATATATTTATTATATGTACATCCATGCGAAGCCGGGGCGAGTAGCTATCTAGCGATATTTCGCATTTGCCAGATATACTCGTATTTTGTATAAGCCCGCACTAAGTCGGTAATTCATCATCGAATGCACTGTACTTTTGAGGAAGGTATATTATTTATTAATATTAAAAAATCTTAAAATTATATTATTACACGGAAAGATTTTACAGGTATAATGTAAATGAGCTGTAAGTAACTGCCTGAAAAATAAAAGAAGAGGCATCAATCACACATATTGTTAAATATTAGTTATGTATTAATTTTATTTATTCTACCTAATTAAAATTCAAAAATAAATCCTACTAAACTGAAATAAACCCAGATAATGGAAATTCCATATCTGTACGATATTCCAAAAGGAAACTGTACATTTATATTTAAAGACAGAGCTATTTTTACAAGAAAATCTCGTGGAAAATTTTAAGATACAAGCCTATTTTTAAATTCAAATCGGGGTATTCCGTGACGTAGGTACACATTCAGTGCCAGACGCACGGGCAATTCCAATAACAATTTGATTGTATCGAATATTGGCGAAATATGTGGGATTTACATTTTATAGCTCTGCATACCTGCTGCAAATCTTTTACTGACTGAAAGTACATGATATTGTGGTTGTTTTATATTCGATGTTTTTGTTTCGAACTACTCTAATACTCTTGCCCACAGCTGACCTTTACAGTTTCACCAAACGATAGGGACGAGTGCAGATGGCACTCCAAACCCGTGAAAGGATTTATGGAGCGGCTGAAGGCCAACTTCCGCCTAACGGATATGACTTTAGTCTGAGGACACCACTGGAGGTTCGAAGCCTCAAGCCATCGTAATTTCGATCCCTGTTTGAATTGTATGGGTGATTTGATTATTCGATATAGATGGTACTAAAATTAGGTACTGTAGTAATAAATGTTATATTAATTTGTTGTTGTTACATAATTGTATGATTTCTTATAAATACTTACAGGTTGGATATATCTAATGGGACTTTCATTTACAGACCAAATAACACTAAAGTTTATGCTATATATTATTATGTTGTTGCTGTAATTTTTGATAATAATTTCATATAATAATTCCAGTTGTTTGCAGTACATACAATATATACTGGATTATTCATTGTGAAATTAATTAAATTCTCCCCACATTTATTTACATTGATTGTTTAATTTATATATTGTATTATGTTGATTTTGTTTGTTAGTACGGATATTGTAATGATTTTGCGGTGTTCATAATACTAGCTATTAATAGTAAATCTAATATTTGTGTTATTGTGTTTTTTTAATAAATATGTATGTTTATATCTTGTATTTAGTAATAATATAACTATCAATACTGATCCATACTTCCTTACTAAAATTGTAAATAGAAGAATGAGTCTGGCTGTTTTTTTAGCTTTTAACTACTAAACAGCTGAATGAAATGTTGGATTGTGTCATGATGATGTATACAGTTTATCTAAAAAGCAGAAGTCGCGAGTAACGGCTAGTATATTATATTTATAAGAATACTACATCAAATTAATAATAATAATAATCTTAGGACAATTCACACAGCGCCATCTAGACTCAAGTTAAGTTAGCTAAAGCATGTATTATGGGTACTAGATAATTGATACAAATACATAGATATTATTTTTTCGTACATACATATTATACATAGAAAACACCCAGAGCGATACAAACAATCATACTAATGAATAAAAATATTTGTGCCGTGTGAGGAATCGACCTGCGACCAAACGTAAAGCGGTGTGCTAAACCTAAACCTAGACCACCAGAGGTTGTCATTAAATTTATTAAATTTTTCATTGTTCAATAGTATGTGGTTGCTAGTCTCTCCTTGTTTTTACCCTTTATTTCTTGACATTACAGACAAAAACTAAACATCGCACGATGTTTGCGTGTTTTGAAGTGTACTGTTGTGTTTATTCGTCTGTGTTCGTTCTCCTTGGCCCCTTTTAAGTGTTTGTGAGCTGCAGAAGAATGAGCATCAAAGTAAACAAGCAACAAGGTAAACTCACCAAACTTTACATGCTTCCACTTAATTTGTACTATCCTTAAATATTTTTCTTGGTATACATTTTTTAAAATTTGTATTCAGTCATTAATTAATATGTATATAAACTGATGACTGTCTACATACATGGAAGATATATGACAAAAACTTATATAAAGCACAAAATGAGAATTACCAATAAATCTGTGGACTACTGTTAAAAAACAGAGCGATTGTCACTAGCATATTCTGGGAAGATTCAATTAATATTTAATGATTGGTTTATTTGAATCGGTAACAAAAAAGTTAAACGGGTATTAAGTCGCGGGCTCAACTAGTTAGCAAAATAACCGATAAAACCCAAATAGTCTTTATAATTTATAATATGACCGTCCATTCATAAATAAATACCGCATCATAAAAAATAGCCAATAAATCATCGCCCACTAAATACCGGTATGTCGTCACCATTGTTTTTCAGAACACGACATTTTTCCGGTAGACATAAACTGTAAAATAACGGAAGATTGAAACATAAAATCAATTCCGAAAAATTATAATTTTATCATGAAATATGTGACCTTGACTTTGTATGAATGATTTATTTTTAATACGATTAAACAAACACGAAGCTGTATTCGAATTCGAAAGGTAGAGTCACGTACAAGTTCAAGTAAAATACATTTAGTACTTTGTCATAGTGACATTATTTATGCTTTAAAGTATTCTTAAACATAACTCTAACAGTATTATTTTGACATAGTACCAAAGTATTTCAGTATCATTAATTGTCATTGCATAACTACTACAATAGTTTATTGTACCCTGATATTTGTCTTTTTGTTATTGCAATTTTGCCTTCATATAGTATTTATATTACATAGTTCCATTATTTGAATACTGTAACTAGCGACATATGTATATTATAATTGATATGCATAAATTATATTAGCCTATGACTACATTGAAAACTACATTGAAAGAATGTAGTTTACATTTTATTACATAATAATATTTAATTTAGCGTCCAATAAGGTCAATATATTGCGACTTAAGTTTTTGTAATGACCAAAGTCGTACTTGATCGTACTAGTGTCAAAATCGTGATTATCCTACATCACGATTTTGACCACCTTTTAATTTGCATTCCCGAACAAAAAATAGAACAACTTCATTTTTCATATTAACATACATACAGCGTGGGCCATATTTGAAATTATCAATAAAAACCAAATAACATATTTTTATAAAACTGTTTATTACTCACCAAAAGATATGAGGCCGCTGTTTAGCATGGTCAGCTTGATACTGTTAGGTATCGACACAAGACTCGTTGTGCCCGACGTTCGCATATCTTTCTTCTTCGGCTTCTTCTCCATGTCGTACCTGGTGGTAGACCGCGACCGGTGCTTCCTCTGGCTGGTCGCCACCGACGAACCGCGCTGCCCAGTCCGCGATGACATTTTGGCCAAACGATTATAAGCCCACCAATTTAAATACCACACAACGGACTCCTAACTCTTTAGTAATACATATCCATTTAAATTATACCGATATTACGATCACATTCACTTTTCTATATATAAAAATTGGTACGTATCACTAGAAGTGTTTTAAAAATAGCCCTAAATATAATTAGTAAGCGTAATAATAATTTTATATCAAAACATTAATATTTACACTTTGTACAATTCGACGCGATAGCTTTTGATGGTAACATTAAAGGGAGCACAGACTTTAGTGGCAATATCATAATAATACAATCATTGTTGTTTGTTATGTGATCCGCTTACGACACCTGAAACAAAAGAAAAACATATAAGTAAAAGGTAACATGTAAGCAATAATCGATATTAATACATCCAGTTAGACTCTGCACAGAGTAGTCTTCATGAGGTAGTATCGCCTATTTCAAACGCCGAGTTAAATATGTTACCTGTGTTTTCGTTGAAAGGAGAGATAAAACGCTAAAATTACATGGTATTTAGTCCTGCGGAATGGACATATAAGAGGAGTACACAGGCTACAAGACTCACCAACAAATGGACCGGCAGCTTGTTTGACATTCCATTTATATAAAACATATATTCTATACTAATACTCGCGAGTTGACCCGAATGATTTAAGATAAAATGTGGCTAAGTCTATTTTTTGTAACGGATACTTTGAGAAATTATCCGCGATCCTAAAGACTATCGATCAGTATACTTCCTACAATGATTTTTTGGGATGATGTTAAAGAAAGTGCTTTATCACTATCATTGAGTATCCATTATTCTAAACTATACATAGGTATAAGAACATCTCAATTAGTAAAACAGAATATAAAAGATGTAGTATCATCGAACAAATATTGGAACAATATAACAAAAGTGGCGTAATGGAAACAGCCGACTAAAATTATATGAATCAATCAATCTTTCAAAAGAGATGATCAATGTTGCAGTGCTTTGAGGATTATTCGCCGCTTTCTGACTTATTGGTTTTAATGTCCATCAGATAAATTGCTTAGGATGCAATACTGTTAAATCTTTTATTTTTCTCTTTCAATAAATATGATTGGAGTTGCGATTTATTGTTTGTCTATTGTTTATGTAAGTGTATATTACAGTACATTCTGAACTCCATGGTTAGAAAATAATTTATAATTCATGAATAATTTTTTAGCATATATATATTTATTATAAATCATGTTTACGTAAGTTAAATTACTACTTTTAATAATATTAGTAAAGATATACCTATTAGGTTAAAGATATAACTAATTGTGCCAGTCAGTTCTTTTGGACACTATCTGAATTTGACTTTTCACGACTTGGTTGTGAAAAGCTAAATTTGGAGTGAACGAATCTTAATGAAATTTAACGTTAAGATATATTGAGTATAACGTTAGGATATATTACCTTTTTCAGATAAACAACAACATATGTCCATCTCCAACATCGTCCAACATATTTTCATTTTGGAATCTTAATAATTTTCTTTTGTTTTACACTCAATAAGAAATATTGCCATTACTACAGTATATTAAAACACCATACCTAGAAACGTATTTGAGTTTACTCTGTAATTTGCGAGTCACTAACATTACTCGTGCGTAAAAATAACTGACCCGAAATATTAGGTACTTGGATATTTTTAAGTAGACACCTAACTGCACAATTAGTACACAGATTAATTTATATTACTTTATACTATAATATTAATATTTAATATTAACATATACAAAAAATTACTTCAATATCATATGTTACATATATCAGGTATATTTTAAGGTCAATCCAAAAACGAAAAAAAAATCATTAAGACACTTTCTTAAAAATTATATCAGAATCTAGAATGGCTACACATGAATGGTACCACGGGTGTCACATGTAACGTGATGTCCATAGTGCTTTACATGTATATAGACAACTTTTACCGTTTACTATCTAAAGCACCATCTACGTGTTTGCCATTGCAATTAATTAAGATGAATAAGAATTCTACATAATTAATTAAGCCTATATTAATTAAAAAATCTCAATCAATTAGGGATTCCAATTAAGATTTGCTACAAGCCCAAACAACTAAATGTTGATAGAAAAGAGAACTATAAAATCTCGAGAACGTACAGCTGTCTGTCGTAAATTTTGTATAAAACACTATTCTGTTCGTATATATAAGCGATGGTTACCACTCACCATTAGGTGAGCCGCCGAGCTAGTTAGGCAGTCTATAATATATAATTAAAAATATTTTAGGAGTATAAATATTCTAAATCTTGAACATGTACTTACTTATTCGAATTTCAAATCATCAATACACGTAATTATTTTTAATTTGAAATTTAAAAAAAGAATTTATTACTACAACCATCAGTCTGTGCTGGTTCGCGTCTCTGTGTGAACTAACTAAATTTCCATATATCAATGGTCCAGATAATGCCAACGACAAACACCAGTGGTTTCTTGCTATCTTGCCAAAAAATACACAAATCACATACATATAGTTATATGTATAGTATCTATATACACTCCATCATTGAGATTGATTTATTAAAACAATTAGAATGTACCTTAGTTGTTCAATGTTACAATTATAGTGTAATTATAGCCAAATTTATAATAAAAAGTGTACTTTCGAAATATTCAAGTAATATATTTCATTTTGAAATAAATTAAATCCTGTAATAACAAGCAGAATACTTTTCTTTATATTAATTCACGTAGGCATAGTCTTGTGATAAAATAGTTTTAATATTAATTTATACTAGTTGTTGTGGTTGGGTTCTTTTGCGTCGAGATAGTTTTTATAGTAAATAAATAAGGTGGCCTTTTGCGGAACAAAATTATAGTACTTTAATAATTTTTAAAATTAAGTCAAGACTCTTATATGTCGACACCAAACAATCTATTATAACTGTAATCGATAAGGAGCTCGTATATACTCATAACACTAGTTTTATCCCAGCTTGGATTGTTGTACAATTTACAGGAGCAGTAGCTGATTCACATTATTGTTATAATACTATTTTAGAAACAACTGCAGACAACAAAAAACGAGCTGAAAAGACAGAGCAGGTGGTTTTTTCTTCTTTAACAATAATCTTTCAAGGCGTGCTCAATTCCAATTGAACCTGACAACGTGCCAAAAGGTACAGAAAGTCAGTTATTCAGTGCACATAAAACCAAAAATAATAACAACTGGACAATTCACACACCGCCATCTACTCCCAAGCTAAGTCGAACTTTTTATGTGAGTACTAGGTGCAATGTACACACACTAATGCATCCAGACCAATACAAACACTCATACTCATAAATACAAATGTTTTCATCCTGCGTGTAATCGAACCCGCGACCATCGGAAGTACAATCGGTCGGGTAGTGGTTTAGAACACCACTAAACGGTTACACTACCTGGGCTGTCAAATTGATTCATGTTAATGAATATCCATATGATATGAATTTATAATCTGTTATCTACTGAATATTTATTCTATTGTTATTTGAATATTTAGTGCGATTAAGCTGTATTTGTATCATATATCATAAGTTTCAAATCGACGGTGCAAGGTTGAATGTAAAGCGGATTTGTTTTAATAATTTATAATACACACGGCGCCATTTAGTCCAAATCTAAGCAGAACTTGTATAATAGATATTAATAACTGATAGATATACTTATGTACATTTTTTTGTAAATAAACTTCTTTGCTTGCATTTACCGTGGGGGTTTCGGATTCATCGTGTGGCAGAGAGGGAAACTCCGGGCTGTTCCCGGGACTTGCGACCCGGGTGTAGGTTTAACCTTTTGCCGACATACATTAAAAACACTTGGACATACAATTATACTCAGAAATACAAATGATTGTATCGTGCGAGGATTGAAGTCGTGACCATCGAAAGTAAAGCGCTGTGCCACACTGTTCGAGCAGTTAGGCTGCCGAGGTGTTTTATGGGATAGTTACGTAGCTATGGTATTAGGTTTACAATTAGTGATAAATTTAAATTCCTTAGCCATGAGTGTGATTTATTCACGGAAATGTAAACGAAACGCTGGTGTATGTGTAATTTATTATGTTTAGTTTAACATTTATTAAATGAAAATATCAGATTTAAGAGTGTACGGTATACGATTATAATATACGACAGTAAAGCTTTTAAATTAAATGTGAAATCGATTTCTGTACTGCTTAGATATTGTATCACGGAAAAAAACTAATAAATTAAGCTAAGACCTAAATCCCTGATATTAGTTGAACAAAAAAAAACGCAATGAAATCGGACACACAAAGATAAAAACACCCCTCTTTTTCTGTCGTAGATAGACAGTCATAAAAGCACATATATAAAAATCATTTATAATTGTATTACTCATTTCCGAAAACAAAACATGATCGAAACAAGTTTCATTAAAATTCCTAAATAAATGGTATCTTCAAATACAACCCACAAATAGAGTTTGCGGGAAAATCGAACGCAAAACCGATATTTAATGATGGAATGTTGTTTAAAATTTCTGTACTGTTCATTAAAACAATTACGTAGTAATTAATCATATTCTATATAATAGTCACGGATGGGTCATATTATAAATATTTTGTAGGCTAGCATACATATGTTTTAAAAAATCACTCATAAAGTGATATCCTCGTTCTTCCTTCTGCTTTAAATACGCATAATTTCATTTTTCTACTGAACCTAGTTAAACAAAGATATTTATATAAATACTAGAGGGTGCGTGTGTGCGCGGGCCTCAAGAGGCCCGCGAGGCGTTGTCGTTGATTTTTTTTGTGAAGACGGTTTTCTTTTCCCTGATATTAGTTGAACAAAAATAATACGAAACCTAACCTAACCTACCTTTTTGTTTACTATATTATTCTGAGGCCATAATTTCTACTGTAAGTCGCAATACAAAACCTAACCTAACCTACCTTTCTATATACCATTTCGACCTGTGGCTTTAATTTTTATTGCAACGGGCACAATACAAAACCTCACATTACCTACCTTTCTGTATACTATATTAATTTGGGTTCACAGTTTTTAATGTAGAAATCATAATACAAAACCTAAACTAAGCTACCTATTTGTTTACTATACCATTCTATATACCATTACGACTTTTTATTTTTTTTTATTTTGGCTTAGCTACCCGGGTGGCAAAAACATTTCGTCCATACATTGTCAACTCCTTCTAATAGTTTAGTATAACCGATGTAACAACTTAGTTTTCATAATAATGTTTTCCAAATAATTTTGATAAAAGCCTTAGGGTTATTATTTATCGTAGGTAAAGGACCTATGAGCGCTG